AGGCTGGGTCCCCAGAGGCACAGGCAGGGGTGTGAGTGGCAGGAGCGACTTTGGAGTGATCTAGAAAGCACTGGCATGGGAAGAAAGTGAGGTGGGGCTTGCATTCACCAACTGCCCCGGGTTGCCCGGGACTGAGGGTCTTTCTGGGATCTGAGGCTTTCCCTGATAGTGCTGGGCATTTTTTCTACGAAGAGCCAATCACCCTGGAGAAGGGAAGGTGTTGGGGTTGAATCAGATCCCCTCAAATGACACACTGAAGGGCTAAGCCCTGGTACCTGTGAACGTGCCTGCTTGGGAATGGGATCTTGAAGATGTAATCAAGTCAAGATGAGGCCATACCTCAGCAGGGGGCCTTAGCTCCCATCACTAGTGTCCTTACTAAAAGAGACACAGACTCAGACACACAGGGGTCAGACCATGTGACAATGGGGACAGAGAGTGCAGTTGGGTGGCTACCAGCCAGACTGTCGAAAGCCACCAGAAGCCAAGGCCACAGCACAGAACAGTCGTCGGAAGGAACCAACCTGGCCTCCAGGCTGAGACCCTGCTGCTTTTAGCCTCTGCACTGGTCTTACTTTGTGACAGCAGGAACAGACCTAGGACACGGCAGGAAGGCAGGCACCGCTGAGGCTGCTGTTTCTCGCATCACACGTTCCGTCACTCCCCACACCACCCGACACTTCTGCTGGCTCCTGCCACAGGCCGAGAGCAAGGGAGGCCAGGAGCTTGCCAGGGCTTCTCAGAGTGTGCACAGAGGATGGGGGGGGGCTCAACCTCATGGCCATAGTGGTCAGAGGAACCAGCCCTGCAGCACCTGGACTTCAGACCCCCAGCCTCTGGATGGTGAGGCAGTGGGCCTGTTGCCTAGGCCTCGAGGCACGTGGTGCAGTGGCCCTTGACTGTGGCCGAGATGCTCTCAGCTGGGCTGCAGAGTGGAAACCGGCCATTATGGTGCCTGCAGCGAGCACAAGTTGCTCCCACAGGTGGGCCTGGGGGGCTGCTGGTGGCATGTGAAGAAAGCTTGTAAGCCCCGGGTTTCTCCACACGTCCACCATGGCCTATRGCGGCCCCCGAGCAGGGCCCTCAGACGTGACAAGACTCCTCCAGAAAGGAAACCTCACCACTGCCTGCCCGGGAGGGTCGGGTGACCGACATTTCACAGGGTGCCGTACATGGTGGCTGGGTGGTGTCTCCTTGGGGACACCAGCAGGGCCGCCCCTGCTGACTGCGCTTCGTCACAGCTGCACCTGCAATGTTTCCTGGACTGGAAGCCCAGACACCACTGCCCAGGACCCCCCACCTCTCAGGAGCTCTGTGCAGAGGAGACGGTGGTCAACGTGCCCGCCGGCACGAGGAAGGTCCCTGTACAGTGCAGGTGAGGGAAGAGAAGCAGCAGAGAAAGGCATCCAGTTTTTATATCCCAGAGATTATAACTAGAATTCCCCCAGAACTGTATGGGGAAAAAGGAAGAGAGAGAAGGAAAGAGGAGGAGGAGGGGAGGGGCGTCTCAGGGACTGTCCCCTGTAGACCCTGRGCCTTCTGTTCCAGCCTCCTAGGGACCCGCTGAGACACCTCGGATAGCAGCCGAGGGAAGGAGCCCTAAGCACCRGGCCAGGATCCCCGAGCAAGTGCATGCTGTCATCCAAGTGGAGCTTCGCACACACGGATGCTCCCGGAAGCACTGGTGTCCCTGGCACGATGGCCCACAGGTGTCCCACAGTGCTCCAAGGCACAGGGTGGGGACTGTGGGAGCACCTCTGCCTCCACCTCTCCCCAGATGCCAGCGGAGGAAGCTCGGGCTCTTCCTGTGTTTCTGTCTGTCTGTCTATCAATCATCTATCTCCTTATGGAAATCCACGATACTGATCCATGTGTGTTTTCCATTTGCACCAACCGCACACGGGCTGCGACCCACTCTGCCCTGCTCTTCCGGCACGGGGTTCCCCTGCATGCAGGGTGGAGCAGGCGCCTTGAGTATCCGACTCCTGGCTGCTCCTTGCCCGAGTCTCTTTGCAGAGGGCACCTGCTCTGCTTTGCTCATGCTCTCTTCTCTGGATGGCCACCCAGGCCACCTCTAGGTCCCCACTGCCATGAGTGATGGACAAGCGAATGTTCTGTACACTCCATCTCATGGACCTCTGCAGGTTCCCCGTGGTATGTATCAGAGGTGGATTCGGGGCCTAGAGCAGATGGATGCTCAGCTGGGTCAAGGGCCAGTAGACTGACTTACCAGTGCACAGKGGTCCCCTTTCCTTGTGTTCTCACCAATACTTATTATCGTTCAGATTTCTGCCTTTGGTAATTTGGTGATATGCGGAAGCCTGCCATTGGTCAGTCAGCCTTTCTCTGAACACTGAGAGTCCAGGGCGCTTCTCCCTCCCAGGTACCAGTCGGGCCTCCCTTTCTGTGAATGCCCTTCTTTTTCTCCCCCCACCTTTCGAGCAGCACCCTGTTTTTCTTGCTCACTTGCAGAGTTCCTTCATGTTGCAGGCACTAATCCTGATCAGTGTGAGCCGTTAGGAACGACTCCCCTGCTCTGTCGTGCGCAGGGCCTTTGCTCACGCCGTTCCTCACTGGGCAGACTTCCTTCCTTCTGAAAGCCGAACACCTCGTTTTTGTCCTTATCATTTGTGTTTTCGGGATCTTGCCCTTCTCTAGCCTGGCTCCCCTTGACACCCCCCGGCACTGTGCATTGTCTCCTGTTGGATTTTTCGCCTTACTCTTCACACGAGGGCCTTGAATACACCTGGAATCATCTTATGCATCATCCATTTGTACCCTCCTCCTTTTTGAGTTTGGAAGCTTTCACTTACACAGAACACCTGACCTATGAACAGGAAGGAGGAGGGACCTGGATGCTTTCAGGACTCGGCTGCTGGACTTCTSACCTGCCAGCCTGTGACACATCCCGACGCACCCCCAACCCCGGGAACAAACGGACCCTCAGTTGGCACTTGTGCTAATTGGGGCGACTTTGAAAGCGTTGAGAAGCCACTGGACGGCAGAGATCAGGCTTTAGAGGAAGGAAACTCTGGCCRCACCGTGAGGTGAGTACACATGACAAATGGCACCTAATAAATGCTCAATTCATGGTCGCTGACCCTCCCCGACCTCTTCCTTGTCAGGTGATCCAGCTGTGCAGGCTGAGATAGGAGCATTTGCAGAATTTATGGAACTGAGCACAAAACTGGGGCCCAGACCCGTGGAGTCTTAAGTGACCCCAAGGGAAACACCGAACTGTGTCACTATTCAGGGCAGCCGTGGCGGGCTGTGCCCGGCCAGATCTGAGTTCTGGGCAGTGGAGGTCGGTCCAGCTGCAGCTGGAGGCCTCTCTGGGAGAGGTACATAGATATCTTTGAGGATTTCAAGGAACTCAGTACCCGCAGGGCCCCGTGAGGGATGCAGAGGGGTGATTCCCTGGGCCTGTGATGATTTTGGATGGGGCGGCCTGTGGCCTGGCCAAGGGCTCCTTTCTCCCTGGTCTGGTAGGTAAAGATGAGAGGCTCTGCCGGTTCCCCGCGTGACCTGGGGTCTGTCCCATGGACTGACAGGGCACCACCTCCTCACCCTGAGGGGCTGGGTGTGACGGGGACACAGCAGGTGCTCCATAAGCCCTTTGGGTCTGAGGTACTGCAAGACCCTCACCTGCCCGCCCCGAAGTGCCTCAGATGGTAGTGGTCAGCCCCACGTGACGGGCCGTGGAAGGCTCTGGAATCTCCCCTCATTAGCAAAGGTGGTGGAGAGTGGCGCTGAGAGAGGGCTGACTGGGCGTGGGTTTTCTCCACAGGGAGAAAGGGCACCCCTCAGCCCTGGCTCTGCTGGYCTTGAGGTTTGAGGACAGTTGAAAATACAGGGGTCAGGTCTCAGGGCCGCTGGGCGGAGGCGCCTGAGTGTGGGGGAGGGAGGAACTGCCCTGGGACACTCTGCTTCGGGGTGCTTCTCTCCGGGGCTGCGCTGGGCAGACGAAAACTCTGAGGAGCTGGCTGGAGGCGGGGTTGAGAGRGCCCCTGAGGAGGTGGCTCTTTCTCCGAGGATCCTGCCGGAGTCTCGCCCTCTCCAGGCGGCCTCACCAGGTGATGTCACCGGTGTCTGGGCAGCAGGGAGCCCTGGTGGGCATTGGAGCAGGGAGCCTCACCCTCCTTAGGCGGATGCTGCTGGCCGTTGCTCTGTGCAGAACCCTGTAGATCCTGATCTTTCGTGTCACCTCCCTCCTTCAGGCTCCGTTATCGTTTTCTACTCTGCCATCTTCCTTGCTCACACTGTTCCAGCCATTTCAGCCTCTGCTGCTCCTTCACAGGCCACCTCAGGGCCTTTGCACGCCTGTTTCTCTGGCCTGGACTTTGTCACTCCCTGTGAGGAGTGCTCTACTCCCTCACTGCACTCACATCTCTGCTCCTTGTCACCTCCTTTGGGTGGCTTTCCTGGGCCACCCCTTCTCAAGTGGCACTTCTGTCTCCATTGCTCAGGACTTACAACACAGCTTTGTTCCTGCTCCATCCCCACGGCCTGAAGCACAGGGGCTCAGTAGATACCCGCTGAATTAATTAGTGAGTGATGTTAGACTCTCCACCTGCCCAGGAGGACTGGTCCCTCAGTTCTAAGTACACGGGCATTTTCTACCAATCATTGACGCCCTTGGGATGGTGGCCCATTAGCTATGTTTAGGCCCATGCACGGCAGGGTTGCAGTCTGCACTGCCCTTAACATGTCCTTATCATGTCCAGCCCAGGGATGGGCACATTGCAAACATGAGAGGTAAGTGGTGGGCTCGAGGGTCCATCTAGATTTCCCTGAACGCCCTCAGCAGGGAGCGGCCCCGCCTTCCCAGGCCACCACAGCCAGGAGGGCCCGCTTGAGAAGGACAGGGGAGACGGGAACTCGAGGCCGCAGTTTCTTCCTGGGGATACCAGCAGGAGCAGGACAGAGCCACCTCTGCCCTTGACCGCCCCTCCCAGGCTGAGAGTCAGGTGGGCTCCCAGGCCCGAGCCTCCGTAACCAACCTGGATGAAGGGGAAGAGCAGCCCGACGGCGAAGTTGGAGAGCCAGTTGACAGTGCCCGCCATGATGAAGGCAGCTGGCCGCTGCGATTGCTGGAAGAACTCGCCAGTCAAGATGAACGGGATGCCGCCTGCAACATCAGAGGCAGGACCGGATCAATCACCTGAGCAGGCCAGACCCCAGTTTCCTCCCCAGGGCAGGCTGCAGGACCCCCCGTGCACCAGGGGCTGCTCTCTTGGCAAGCCAGCCCTGCCCTGGTGGGTGGCCTTAGGAGGGATGCTGCAGTGAGGCGATCTTGGTACGGAAGCTCTAATGCCCACAGACCTTCCTCTGACCATCCAAGTGAGAGATCCACCATCCTCTCGGCTCTCTGAATGCCCTCTCAGTCAAGCCACAGTCCATCAGAAATAGAGAACTGCTCCGGTAAGTTTGATACGTAGAACACAACTGACTCTCGAGGAGTCCAGGTGCTCCTTAACAAAGGGATTTTGATGTCCCCATAAAYCCACTGTCAGTTGAAGACAGCACAGGTCAAAAATGCATCTTGCACACCTGAACTACCAAGTACGGTGGCTTAGGGTAGCCCGCCTCAAAAGCACTCAGAACACTTGCATTAGCGCACAGTCAGGCATCTGGAGAGAATACCACATTGTGTGTTGCTAGATCAGGAAAAGATGAAAATTCAAAGTACAGTTTCTACTGAGTGCATATCGTTTTCATACATCAAAAAGTCAAACCCTGGTAGGTTGGGGACCATCTGTTTATTGTGTCAGGATGTTTCCAATTTAATCTTCAGAATAACTTAGGCAGGAATTGGCTGTCATACCCCTGGGTGAAAACACTGAAGCCCAGAGATGTCACTAGATTTGCCCAAGGTCACCCAGTTGCCAGGTAGCTGAGTCAGAACACAGGCTTGAGACCCTGGCCTCCAAGTCTCGGGGTTCCACCTGCCAACCCCTACCTGAGAGAGGAGAGACGCCCCTGCCCAGTTGGTTCCTGTTTGTGTGCCTTAACTTCTTTGACTGGGGGTGAGGTGGGCCCCTGGTCCTGAGTGGCCCCGTAGCTCAGTGTTACTCAATGGCAACATCATTGACACTAATTTCCAGAGACTGTCCGTGCAGGATGTTTACCACCTCCCCAATACCATGCAACCTAAGCCACCTGCATGCACCCCATTTGCCGTCCTGGGTTGGACCCTCCCCAAAGGCACCTCCTGCTCAGTGAATCTGGGGGTGTGATCCTGTGCCCAGACCCAGGACCCCCAGTTGGAGCTGCCACTCTGCCAATCAGATCTGCACCTTGGCACTCCTCAGACAAGGCAGGGTGGGTAGTGGAAGGGGTCCCCGAGGGACCTTTACCAAGCTCAGAAGTCCCTGGGCTGGACTCACGGTTCTGTCAGCTCTCAGTGCTTACTTCTGGCCGGGGAGCTGGGTCAAGAGCAGCAGGGCCCCTCCCTTGGTGAACTTCCTCGAGTGGGGACAGGGGGCAGAGCGATTTGTTTCTTGACAGGAAGCGAGAGAATGAATAAGTGCGAAGTGTGATGCGCCCAGCCCTGGGGGGTGACCTTGGACACGAAGATCCATGGAGGTCTCTCCAGGTGGAGGGGTGGGAGGGAAGAGGCCCTGGGGTGAAAGAATGGGTCATGTCCAGRACCGGGTGGATCTGCCTGGACACCTGGAGGAAGTGGACAGGAACGGGCCGAGGTGGCCCAGGTGAGCCAGGCCAGGGAGGAGCTTCCTGTAGACCCAGAGAGGGCTTTGCTCTTGGAGGAAACCACTGAGGGCTTCCACAGTGGGCGGAGGTGCTCTGTGCATTTCATGGAGACCTCTGCTCTTTGGGGAGAGGAGGAGGGTGTACAGGGGGAGCTGAGGCTATGGTTTTTGTAGGAGGGAGGGGATGGTGGCCTTGGAGCAGAGCAAGGGGCCAGATTCAGAGAGTCGTCAGCCGTGGAGGCAAAGCTTCCTGTGTGAGCACTGCGCTCCACCAYGGGCACCCACCTAGCACCCAGAGCCACAGAGCCAGGAGCAGTGCAGGCCGGCCCCTCTCCAGGGCTTTTGCTCTGTCCTGCTGCCAGTGCTCCTGGACTCCAGCAAGTCACAGGTGATCCAGGTGAAGCATCACCCCATCACCCTGTGAGACCCCTGGGCCGGCACCAGCTCCACTGCCTGGCATGTTTGATAGGCATCAGATATACCATCGATATTTACTAAATGCTCACGATTTGGACTATTGACTATGTAGTTTGCCACGTAGAAAGCCAAACTCCATATCTTAAAGCTATCTATCAAACCTGTCCTGAGCAAGAAGAGCGATGTGGGGGGCATCACAACACCTGCTCTCACATTACACCACAGAGCTGTYGTGGCCAAGCAGCATGGCGTTGACAGATGAAGACCGATGGAGTAGAGTAGAAGACACGGAGACAAACCCACACACTTACAGCCTCAGATACCTGACAAAAGTCCCCAAAATAGATGTTGAAGAAAAGACAGCCTTTTAAACAAATGGTGCTGGGAAAACTGGAGATCTATGTGTAGAAGAGTGAAACTAGATCCCTCTTTCTCACCCTGCACTGAAGTCAAATCAAAATGGATCAAAGATCTGGGAATTAGAAACTGTGCAGGATTAGAAGAAACCAAGGTCAACACTCCAGCATGCAGGTGCAGGTACCTCTTCCACAACGAGACCCCAAGGCTCAAGAAGTAAAACCAGGAATCAATACACGGGAGGCCATCCAGTGAAAAAGCTTCTGCCCAGCAAAGGAGACAGTGAGGGGTGTGAAGGCCAAGCCTAGGAACGGGGGAAACCTTGGCCAGCTACTCCTCCGAGCAATAGCCAGGACACATAAGGAACTCAGAAATGTTAACACACACACACACACACACACACACAGAACAAAACCCAAAATAACAACTCAATCACTAAATGGGCTAAAGAACCCAACAGACATTTCTAAAAGAAGAAACACAATTGTCCAACAAATATATGAAAATAAATGCTCATCATGTCTAGCCATCAGGGAAATGCAAATCAAAACTACAYGAAGAATTTGCCTCACTCCAGTCAGAACGGCAGTTGTCAAGAATACAAATAATAAATGTTGATGAGGCTGTGGGGACAACGGTACACTCCTATGCCATGGTGGGACTGCAGACTAGTACACAGCCAGTCTGGAAAGCAGTAAAGATTCCTCAGAGGACAGGAATAGAACCGCCATATGACCCAGCTACCCCCTCCTCAGTGTTTAGCCAAAAGAACTAAACTCAGCGTCCTACAGCATTACAGCCACTTCAGTGCTCCCAGCAGCACGATTCACAGTAGCCTAACTACGCTCCAGACRGGGTCCTGTCAGGAGATGAAGGGACGAAGAGGGTGTGGTCTATACACAGTGGAGTTCACCCAGCCAGAGAGAGGAATGAAATCATGACATTTGCTGGTAAATGAATGGAAACAGAGAACATCRTGGGAAGTGAAATAATCCAGACTCAGAAAATCCAGGGTCRAACATTTCCTCTCACATGTGGAAGCTAGAGAAAGGGAAAGAAGCCAGGAGGGGGTAAAGTCGTAAAGGGAAGGTCTGTGGAGAGGGAGAGAGGGGAGTGAGGAGGGACAGGAGGGGGAGGGAGTGCAGAGTGAACTGAACAAACTAATGTTACGTGCATACAGAAACACACCATGGGATTTCATAAGTGCGTGGACGGACTCATCGAGGACTGATGAATGGACGAGCAAGGGGCCGAGTGGAGGGGGTCGGGTGGGAGGAAGGCAGCGAGGAGCGGGGACTGAGGAGCGGTGGTGAGATTCCAGCGTGGGTGATCTTGTGGGGAGGAGCCCAGCRACCGTGTGTGACTACGATGCTCTGATAAAGGGGAAAGGTGTCTATCAAAGTGTGTGAGGACAGTGGTGACACATTGAGATGTGCTGAGACCAGCCTCCAGGTCCTGCYGATGCCGAGATGTCATGCCAGGAGGCGTTTGTGTCACACCTCCAGTGGCCTCGCTGCTAGCAGAGCTGGGACCTGCCGCACTCCCAGCTGGTCTGGAGCCCTCGCGGGTGGGAACTGGAGAGCCACCTCCCTGGACGTCCACCCGGGAGACTCCACAGCACTTCCCGGCTGGAACCTCAGTATGGCAGCTGATTTGTGACACAGAGGGCATTGGCCACCTCCGTCCMCGCATGTCTCTGCTGCTTCAGGGCCACTGCGGGCTGGAGCAGGGYTCAGGGTCCGTGGCTGGCGTTTCTTGTGGTTGGTGTGTGGGTGCGGAACAGCAGGCTTCAGAAGTGTGGGCTGGGGCCGAGTCAGAGTAGGGAATTCCTTCAGATTCTCCATCTGGGGCCTCTATTTTTATGGACTCTAATATCCACACAAAAACGATTTCTTGTGCCTTTCCAGTCCTTCTTTGTGGCCCAGTCATGAGTGAAGACTTGTCACTTCAGTGTGGGAAGCGGAGGTTCCGGGGCCTGGAGGGGCCCCTGAGGTACTGGCCACTTGTGAGTGGGGGAGATAGGTCACGGCGGGGTCTCCTGCCTCCGGATCCTGGGCTCCTTTGCCAGCAGCCTTGGTTCAAAAGGACAGAGATAGCAGAGGAGTCGTGTCTGCATTGACCGCTCAGGTCAGACTCCTGTTGGCTTCCTTTCACGGACGCACGATCATCTTCCTTCTTTCTTTGGTTCAAATGTGAAGTAGATCTGGGAGCTTGGAGRGGCAGGGGCTCGATATGCCAGCCATGCTGAGATGCAGAGAGGCRGAGAAGAAAGTTTCCAGCAAACCCTGCCGCATGCTACGAACCCATTCCTGCCTCGGCATCTTCCTGACTGGCTGTGGTCCAACTCGAATCGCTGCATTTTGATAAGGGACAGATGCTTCTGTGGCTGCAACTCCACCTGCAAGGTGCAGGGTTTTCTTCACACTCCCGGGGGCTTCTCAGCCCTGAAGACCAACCCAGCCCCTCACCAGGRAGCTGCGAGACCCTCCATCAATCCCTACCATCCTTCCAACTTCATCTCTCATTTTCCCTCTCTCCTTGGAGGCCAGGCTAGGCTTTCCCAAAATATGAGGGAGAAGGACAGAGGATCTGGAAGGATCACTGAACTGAAATCCATTCAGAAAGAGGAGGCAGGGGTGAGAGA